TGCTTCACAAAACAAACCGCCTGTTTTTTCTTCTTTTTCTCCCTCCGTCAGTACCTGACGAAGCAGGTGGACCTCCTCAGGCAGGTCAACGACCAGCACGCCAAAGTCTACGAGCAGCTGGACGTGTCGGCCCGGGAGCTGGAGCAGGGCAACGCCAGACTGCTGCAGGACAACAGGGCGGCTCAGCAGAAGATCCAGGGGTAAGACCGGGGAGGGGGGGGGCGGGGGTCAGGAAAGTGTGGGGCGCTTTGCCTTGAAAGGGTGAGGTTTCTCGGATTGACAGCCCCCCTTCGTTTTTTACACGCAGGCTGACGGAGTCGGTGGAGCACCTGCAGACGCAGGTGGAGGAGCTGCAGCTGCAGGTGGAGGAGCTGAGGCTGAGCCCCCGTCGGCCCCGTCAGCCCCCGGCCGGGGAGAGGCGGCCCCCCCGCGGCGCCCAGAGCGCCTCCTGCCTGCAGGAGCTGCAGGACACGCTCAGGTGCGGATCATCATCATATGATTCCAAATATGTGCTGCCTTTGGTTTCGCATCCCCATAGACCTCCCTTTTGATTCTGTACAACAAAACGTTTTCACCTCAGCAAAGGCAGGGAGGGCTGGGACTGGAACTAAAGAATGAATTGAAATCATTTTAAACCATAGTTGACATAGTTGAAAACACACAACTTGGGTCACAAATTGACCCAAAAAGTGATTTATAGTTATTTTCTTTCAGAATGTTGATGTTTTTGTACTTTTTTGACGTTGGTAAAACATGAGTAGAGCATGTTTTTGCTTTGAAATAGTCTGCTGGAGGCTTTGTGTCCAACGGCAGCACTGCTGTAAGCTGTTTACTCTAAAAGTGCCAAGTAAGAAAAAGGTTAAGACTCTGTTCTCACACACTGGAGTCACACAGCAAATCCAAAGTCCGGTTCAGTGTTGCCGCATATTATTGCATAATGGCCACGACGGACTGGCCACGAACACTCACATCTGCACATCTGCTAATTAATAACCTGCAGTCAACTTTCCTGTCAGCTTGAGGGGTAATATTTGAAATATTGTGCATTGTGGGGAAGAAAACAACTAAGCCGATTGCTCGCTTTTGTTGAGAAGGGCAATTAAGAAAAAGGGCTGAATGATTCATTTTAAAGACTTTTTTTTGGAGGTCTCTGCCCTCGGCCGAACAAAATAATCGTAAATGCTTTGTCGCAGATCCAGAAATTCTCAGTAAGCCTCAAGAAGGGATTAGCTAATCCCGCTAACTTCAGCTCCCCCTCTATATGTGCTAATCCTTCCCCCTACTGTTCTCCTCACAGCAGTGAGCGTGTTTCGTGCCGCGGCCTCTTCCTCCGGGCCGGCCAGCCGGCCTCAGTTTAGAAGCCGCGCTGCGTAATCCTGTTGGGACGGCTCGCTCAAAATCCACGGAAATCTTAGAGATAGCAACACGGCGGCGTCGGAGCTGATGTCAGAGGGCAGTTTGTTGGAAGGAAGGAGGTCAGAGTCTGAGCTGGAGGGCAGGAGTCGATAAGCCAATAGCTCATTGACTAAAATCTAATCACTACTTTCTTTTTCTGATTGGCTGGTAAAATGATATCTCCAGTGCGTTATGTACACAAAAAAGTGGATATTGGAGTCATACAAAGCACTCGTGATACGGAAAGACTGAATTTGGATGACGACCTTTGACCTTTTGACTCCCTTCCATCCGTTTGATGACGCCTTTCACTATGTTTTGCCTCAGATAAAAAAAAAAAAAGTCAATAGTTAGATAAGGGTGGTTCATTCATGCACTATTTGTCAACAAATAAACTCTTCACGAAGAGAAAGGTTTGTTGATCTGAACCGTGAAAACGGGAAAAAATTGTTGTCTGTTTATGGTTGCTAAAATATGGATAGTTTCTCAACATCTTTATAAGTACAAAGATAAACTAAGGTGTTCAAGCAAAAGAAAGACTTTAGGTCATCTGGTTGGGGTTTTGGATGCACAGATTCTTTTACATGCAAGTCGGTTAATTAAGAAAAACCTGAACCTGAGCGTGGGTCGCTGTGAGGCATTCGTGCCATTTGATTGGCTCCTGATCCGCCGGCGTCCCTGTGCAGGTATGGCGGTGAGCCCGAGGAGGATGAGGAGGACGGCGGGCAGTCCCCGGCGGCGCTGTGGCGGGAGGAGGAGCGGGCCTCTCTGCGGCAGTCCCTCCACGCGCTGCAGCACCAGTTCGCCGGCGAGCGCGCTCAGAGGGAGGCGGCGGAGCGGGAGGCGGAGCTGCTGGCCGGGGAGAACGCGGCGCTGGAGCAACACCTGGCCCGGCTGGAGGGCTGTCAGGCACGTCACAGCGCACATCTGCGTCTGCCTGCAGATTTTGAGCTAGATCGGAAAATTCCTCTTTGAGGGATCCTCAGCGTGTTTTCCTGATTTTGTTTTTCTTTCTCATGGGACCCTTTCCTCCTTCTGGGTCTCAGATAAAGTCTTCCCAAACTTTATCTCTTAATGTTTTGTCTGGAGGATTGTTTAATACAGACTTTACCCCTCATCCCAGACTCTGAGATGGCTATAAAATGCACTTTGTTTTGCTTTAGAGCAGCTTGGTGCGTCGTATGAACCACTTGTTTAATGGTGCTGGTTGCTCTCACTTCATGAAGTCGTCCCTTTTAATACATTTCTATTTCTTACGTCCTCAGATGGATTCAGAGTTTTGCTTTGGACTAGAGTTTCCACAACAGTCCCATATCTAAATCCTCATTCTGTCTCCCTCAGGCCAGAGTTTCCGAGCTGGAGCGCGAGACCGAGGAGCTCCGTCAGCTCTGGAAATCGGAATCCTCCTCCAGGTCCGTGGGGCCGGACGGCGTCCGCGGCCTGCTGCCGCACTCTCTCTTCCTCAACCCGGAGGAGGAGGGCGAGGGGGATGCCCCCAAAAGCCCCGCCGCCCTGAAGCGCTGGGCCAGCGAGCGGGGGATGAGGGCGGACCCCCCCGGCCGGATCCCCGACCACCACGAGTGCTCCTGCGTGCGGCGGGCGGAGGTGGTGAAGTACCGCGGGATCTCGCTGCTCAACGAGGTGGACGCCCAGTACAGCGCCCTGCAGGTCAAGTACGAGGAGCTGCTGCGGCGCTGCCACCCGGGGCCGGGGGAGGAAGAGGGGGACGGGGGGGAGGAGGAGGAGGGTCAGGGGCAGGGCCCCCGGCCGGCGCGGACCCCGCCCCTCCCCAGAGACGCCGAGGACTTCGAGGACGAATTCCACCAGCCGGAGTACAAGGAGCTGTTCAGGGAGATCTTCTCCCGCATCCAGAAAACCAAAGAGGACCTGATGGAAAACAGGGCCAACCACTCAGCCGGCGAGGCCCCGCCTACTTTTCAATGACTCCGCCCCAGAAATAAGACCAGAGAGACTGGCGTCGTCTTCCGGCTACAGAGCAGAGATGATGATCGCCATGCAGCAGACGCATGGGGAGACGCGGGAGGAAACACCAGTGCCTGACTGTTCCACTCTCTCTACCTCACCTCGCGCGGTTCCGGTCGCGGCCGAGCTCCTGCGGACACTTTCCGAGGGAATAATCCACCATCTCCTCATAAACTGGTGAAAGTTTTTATTTCCGGGGCCCCGTCATTTTCTAAAACGAAGGTGTTATACCACTGTAAACTGTAAGAGGTTTTTGGCAGAAATACAATGTGGAATATTTGAAGAAAAAAAAAAAAAAAAGGAAGATCTCCTCGTGGTGAGATTAGGATGATAATGCATCCAAACATTGAAAGCCTAGATGTGTGATTTACTGTCACAGAAGTCAGAATTTGTTTTTTCAAAAGCTGGAACCTGCTCATTCCCAGGAAAGATCTTTAATTCACATCCACTTGATGAAAGCAGGTCCAAAGTTCTGTTTATTTACTCCAACCCCTATTTGTTTCCTGAACCATCATTAGCAAAAGTCTTCTGCCCTCTTTAGGACTCTAGAAAGTTAAGGGGAATGTATGAAATATAACTCTTTGGTACATCTCTGCTTTTATTGTTTGTTTTCTATCATTTATTTTCTTGGCATTTATTAAGAAAAAGTTCACTTCTTGGATTGTAACTTTGCCTGTAAAAAAAAAAAAAAAAACCCAATGCACTGTTGACCATTATATGCAATGATGTATTGAAGGAGTTTTCACATGGTGCTCACAAATGTTTTTTTAATTGTAACATAATTATACTTGACTATTGTGTGGTAGGTTAGCTGGTCGTGAATGAATGTTATAGAGTAAAGGCGAGTTAACCAAAATAACTGTATTTGATGGTGTAACCTGTGTAGGCCGAAGCCTCTCAGCAGCTGCTCAGCTGTTGGTCCCGCTGCTTGTGTCCTCCTTAAGCTTAGAAATAGTTCCTATAATCAAATGACGATGCACTTTAGAAATGTACCAGGCATTACCCTTGCTGTTCAGACACTTGAAAGTCTTTGTTGGATAGTTGATGCGAGCAGCTTTTAAATCATGAAGTAAGGTGGTGGTTCTGAATATTCTGCACTGTGTACGATGTGTTTTCACCTGTAATGTTTCTGCTCTGAGCCATAAAAGAATTATGCTGAGATGGCACTTCCTTTATCACTTCTCTCAGATGTGCGACCGAATCTTTTCGGTCGGCGGCTTTTGAGCTGAACCTTGTAACACTTTGAATGTTCAGGCTAAAAAAGAGTTAAGAGTTAGAAAAAATATTTAACAATTTATCTTTAAACAATTGAAATGATATATAGTGATTTGAGTGCACTTAAGAAGCTGCGTCTACTTGGCGGAAATAGCTAAATACATTTTTAAAAAATCTGTATTAAACATCTCACTGCAATCATGTTTAAATTACATCTTGATTAAGTCAAGAGACGTTAAGCATTTAAGAGCAAGTCTTGGACCAAGATTGACAGTAAAAAGAGTTCAAACTCTGTGTAGATTATCAGGACAATTCCCCCCCATAGAAACTGTGTTCATTCAGAGGCTTCGTCAGCTTTTTTTTTTTTTAAATCAACAAAGTAATGACACACGAGCAGGCAGAGAAGGTTTTATTCCAAACTGCTTTTTTATTGGTTGTCTTCAAAATCAGTCACTGCAAGGAGAAAAAATTGAATCCACCATCCAACACAAAACTAAACATCTGCTTTTTAATCCACTCTTTGCTCAGTCCTGATAATCAGTCAAGCTTGCATCTATTGATGAATGAAATGCAACAAAAGCCAGTTCCTGCAGCACAATGCAGGTTGACTGTAGAGTTTTGTTTTTTTCCTCGTTCTGCATCCAGTTTCCCTTTTGTCTGAACGAACCCGGCTATTTTTCTAAGTGCCTTCACGTGTTTTTTTTCTCCTGAGGCATCGTGGGTAGCGAACATTTTTAAATCGGACCAACTGAAAATGCATGGAGATTTACCAATGGAAAATGTCATTTACGCCCACGAGGCCGTGATGGGATGATATAAAACACGTTCATCCTTACCAGGTAAAAAAAAAAAAGAAAAACGATCTGCCGTGAGGTCAAAAATGCAAAACAATAATCATTTCTACTATTTAACCGTTTACATAAACCTTACTTTTTCTTCATCGTTTCTACTAATCCGCTTCCCCTTAGACTCTCCTGCTACCAGGAGGCTTCCGTCCTCATAGCGTCCCAGCGCTGGCGTTAACGTCAGAAATCATCCCGTTCTGAGCGTCTGCACAGCTGCCGTCTTTGTCGTCCAATCGCCGGACCTCAGAGCTGGGCCGGCTGCTGTGATTGGCTTTCGTCTTTCAGCTGTCCTCCCGCTGGACGCACGGGAGAGGTTTTGATTGGCTTATGGTGACCATGAGGGGTGGGGGTTGGGGGTGGGCGGGCTCGTTGGGTCAGGACTGGATGGTTCCTTTGAGGTACCACATCCCTGCGTGGCTGCTGCAGCACTCCTGGAACCACAGACAGCCGGGTCAGACGGCGGGAGGGGGGCCGGACACTCGGGGAGGGGGGGGGGGGGGGGCCCAGGGACCCGTCTTACCTGAAGCAGCCGGTCCACTTCGGATTTGGGAGCGTCTCCGAACTCCTGCGTGAGCTTGGCTTGGATCGAGCTCCTCCTGATCCGGTAGTTCTTGGTGAACAAGTCGTAAAGCAGCCGGCGGTGCTGCAGGCCGACACAAAAGAGAAGGAACCATCTAGGTAAAAGGCCCCAAAGCCAATCCCTCTCACCAGCGTGGGTCTTTCTCTGGCTCTTTAGTTGCAATAGGCCGGAAGTGAAGTCAGACCCATGAGAGCACGGTGAGGAAACCTGTGGTTTGTGGCAGCAAACGCCTACGAGTGTTTTACCTTGTCGAAATCGTCTCCGGTCTCCCACAGGCCAAACACCTTCTGCTCATCTGGAGCCGCTTGGCTCTGTGCTGGAAACTGAAAATGAAAGGGGAAACAGAGAGGGTCAAATTTGAGCTGAAGTCTCCGGTTTTTAGCATTAAGCAGGCCAAGTCCAGCCCTTCTGAGGCCACTATTGACCTACACCGACTGATAATTCATTTGGCCCTGCGGATGGCCGTCTACACTGAAGTCTAGTGGCCTTTCTGTTGCTGGAACTTGAGCTGCTTGTTAATTTGATCTTCTGCTCAAATACCCAGTCTAGAGTCTGGACAGTCTGAGCAACCAGGATTATTTCTCCAGACTCGACCCATTGACTCACCCCTGATCTCTGAACCGCCAGACAGCACAATCAATAATCTTTAGAGGGCAAAGAGAGGCGGTTATCTGACTGGGGATCTGCCTGCGTATACAAATAACCTCCTGGATTAACCCCCCGCTGAGCAGTAAAGGGCTTTGCTCTGGGGCTAATTATCTGTTGCGTAACAAAGATGACTTTGGGCCTGTTCAGTCCCCACTGCCTTCAAAATCCTTTAACAGTCAAGGATGCAGAATGGATAAGGACTGTAAAGACACCAGGACAGAGCTATACCCAACAGTTGGACCAGTTTAAGCCTGAAAAAAACAAAAAAAAACGGCCCAAAGGCACGCTGGACCATCAGATTACAAACACACAGAGGCATCGGGTGGCTGCTTGAATCTTAGTGGAACCCGAGTCGGGTCGGAGCTGGTTCGCTGCTCCTTTTCTTTGAGAAAACGACCGTTAATGTCGTTATTCGGTGCAAGAAAACTGATCCGGCGAAGGATCCCCCCTCCTTTATCCAGCTCCCACCGGCCCAGCTGACAAAGCAGGGGACAGTAATCCGGAGCGCTCACATTCCACCGTCAGGTGAACCGGAGGCCAGAGGAGCTCCCAGCTCACCAGAAAGACTCCAGTCCCACTTTGTAAACCCACAGGAAAAAGATCAAATCTGCGAGTTTAACCTCACAGTAGAGGCGTGAGCTCATTATTGATCAGCGGCCCTGGTTCACGTTCTGCTGAGACGCAGGGCTGCGGATGTGGGTTCTGCACGCTCGCCACTTCCTGCCGTTTTGCATGGGAACTGTGAGCAGATGGTGTTGGTTCAGCATCTTGCAGCTGTAAGTTTGACTCACACAAATCTTTTCGTCAGATCCGTTTTTTCCAGTGCACCGATTAAAATAATCCATTCCACTTTGCTGTGTTTTCCAGCCAACACGAGCATTAGCATCTCCAAACCCACATGTCTGTGTCCAAACCATTAAGTTGTTATAAGAGTAAATCCCTGTTCTACGTGAGTCTGACAACTAAGTAAGCTAAACAACTTTAAACTTTAATACATGCTCTGATAGGCCGGTATCGGTATCAGATCGGAAGTGCAAAAACCTGGATCGGGACATCCCTAGTCAAGAGTCTAAATTGAAAAAAAATAAAGACGGAATGAAGCACTCATCGTGTTTAAAAAGGGCGTTTGGATCCAAAGCACAGGTGAATTTAGAGAGGCGAGCGTGGGGGGGGGGATACTGACGGGCACCGCGATCTGTTTGCACTGGCAGAGCAGGACGGCGTCCTGGAGCACGTGGTCCGAGATGGAGCGGAGCGTGTTCTGTCCCGCCGGCATGGAGGCCAGGTGCAGGTTGAACAGCCGCTTGAGCTCGTTCAGCGTCAGCACAAAGTGTTTCCTGAAGGTCTTTGTCACAAAGTCCCGCAGCTCCCGGGACGGCGTGCCGGCGGGGCTCCCCCCGTTGGCGTGTTCGAAGCAGGGGGAGGCGGCGCTGGGGTAGCCGTTGGCAGAGCCGTTGGGGATGGTGGAGGAGGAGGGGGGGGGAGGAGGTGTCCATGGGCTCGTCCTCCCCGTCCTGGTGGTCGCGGCCGCTCCCCGCGCGCCTGGCGTCCAGGTCCCGCTGCAGGGACGGCTGCTTGTCCAGCGCCCGGTCCTGAGCCCGCTTCAGGCGCTGCTCCCCGCTCACGTGGACCGGCTCTGGCATGTGGAGATAAAAATGAATCCACATTGCCAACACCCGCTCAGCCAATAGTCCTCTGTAATGCGGACCGTATTTCCCGCACTATAAGGCGCACCTAAAAGCCTTCCATTTTCTCAAAAACCGACAGTGCGCCTTATGTATGGATCAAGATTGAGTCGCAACTACGGAGAGCAGCCTCCGACTCCATTTTCTCCCGCAGAATGCAGTTCATGCTGGGATATTTGGTCACATTGTGAATATGTAACATTAACGTTTGAACAACGTTGAGTGACTGTTTTATTGTTATTGCTTTGCACTAATCTGTGCACCTCACTAATGTTACTATATTGTGACGTATGATTTAGCGTAACGGTATCAGACTGTTCCTTTTACGTGTTTACTGAATCGAGGAAAGGTTCCCCTCCACCAGGTGATAAAAACGTTGCACTACCTGTTGCTGTTAAAAGATAAACTGTGTCGCGAAAACACTACGTCACTGACTCTATGTCGGGAAAAATAAAAAAACACCAGTTTATTCATTGTCAGAACGCTGGTTTGTGTTCTTTTAATAAAGTCTGACTGACTTAATCTGAATCTGGATGAAGTCGAGCCACAGAAGGCAAACACAGCCTCAACTGGAGATTCTATTCTATGCGCCTGATAGTGCGGAAAATATAGTAGTTTGGCGCGTCAGCGTCCGACTCACCAGGCTGGGACGAACCCTTTGGCACAAAGTCGTCTTTTGAAAAATCGAACACCTTCTCCAACCTGTAAGACAGACGGGGGCAGATCACTCCTGATCAGACGACAAGCCGAGGACCTCGAACCGCACTTTAAGGCCGTGGTGCGACTCTTCCTACTTGCTCTGGATGCCGAGCCACAGCATCTTTTGCCTGTTGGCCACATCCGGGTGCTTCTTGATGAAGTCCACGTCGGTGGGCAACAGGAACTCCCAGCCCCGGTTGACCCGGGGAGCGGCCACATGCTCCAGGAACTCCTTCACATCCTCTGGAGGAAGCTAGCGGAGGGGAAAGGGGAGGACAAGATGGTTCTGTTTGAGCAGAGGCATTGAGCAAAGTCATCAGAAATGGTGTGTTCAAAATAGGGGGACTGACGACAGCTCTCACATTTCATGGATAAATGATGGCACTTGTTCTTACTTTGATGATGGAGGTGATCTCCTTTCTCATGACGGAGCGCTCCAGAGTGAACCTCCACATCTAAAAGCACAAAAACCAGGTGACTCGCAGCGACTGCGTCCGAAATACGCAGCGTTTGCATTCTTATTCAGGAGGAAAACGGGGACGTGGGCTCACCACGAAGTCTCTGCCGCGGCACAGCACCTCGGCAGGGACGCCGCTGTGAGCGCTGAACGTGTTTTTAGGATACAAAACGTCACTGGAGAAGACACAAAACCACGCCGATTAAACTACTTCTACTCTGGAGCATTTTATCGATCCCGCCCACGAAGCCGTTCCCAGCTGAATGAATGGGGGACGTAAAAAAAAGAAATGAGGAAAACAGGAGCGTGTTCTCACCTCTTGACGACCCAGTTCCCTTGAACCAGCAGTGCCACCTGCTGGATGCAGCGCAGCGCTGAGGTCTGGTCAGTCCCAGAGGCCAGCAGGCCCATCAGGTTGGCGAATGGCATCACTTTGACTGCACAGAGCAGAAGTTGTGCGGAAAATAAGATTACAAAAAAGGCGGATTTCTGCTCAATCTGATTTTGAGCTGTAAATGCTTCCAAATTTTGCCAAACATCCTGCAGCTGAGGAAGATTTCAATTCCAAAAGCGCACAGCGAGCACTCGCCGCTAAAGCTTCGGCGCCCCTTTTTGCCCACAAACAAAAACAGAGAAAAGAAAATCTCCCAAATGGGATCAGCGGTGTCCTACCGTTCTTCATCAGGGTCTTGACTTGTTCTCCCAGCGGCAGAGTGCGGAGCTGAGCCATGGAGAGCACGTTGCTGGGCCCGACAGGTTTAACACTTAAGAAAACAGACAGTCGCGTTAACAGGGTCGTTCGTCCATGTCGCTTTGTTCACATCTGTGATCGGGAAAGGAGACACTTACACTTTCTCTTCTTCGAGAGGGGGCATCAGCATATCCAGATACTCCCTGAGAAAACGAGAGGACAAAGTTTGAAGGGAAAACAGATCAAGGTGACGAGATCAAGGCCACAGCTGCTGTTTAACTAAATTTGGCGTTAGTATGAGGACTATCGGTGTGAATCTGGGGAGCTCTTTTGCATTCGAGTTCAAACCAAAAATGTACTCAGGTTGTGTTTAAGTTTACAATAAAAACGATCCATGTTGTTAAAGAGAGAGCCAGTCTCATCAAAATGGGTAGTTAAAAAATAAAATAAAAGCTTATACTCACTTAGGAGTTTTGACCAGTTCAGAGTTGTCAGAGCCGTCCCCGGATTGACAGTAGAGGTACTGTTTTTCATGCTCCGAGCGCCCGTCCTGCATGACAACAAAACATCAAACGTTTTTTTAGGGCCAGAATAAAGTAATATTGTCATTTGCTGTGAGTTCATGCAGTGTGTTGGTTTTGTTCTTTGATCAAGGTAAAGTTCATGTACGGCTCATTTTGTGCACCAGTAAAAAAAAAAACATATACCTATGCCTTGAATTTGGAATTAAACATATCTTACTTAGCACTAAAGAAGGGTTCAGTGAATGGGCATATGAAACTGGTGGGTTTGGTACCTCAAAAAGCTTAAGAACCACCACACTGCACTAAAGGAGAGCGTAGCAGCACTGAGGGCTCCCCCTACCTTTACGCCGTGGTACTGCAGGTGGATCCAGGGCTCCTCTGCCTGCTTCTTCTGCAGGAACTCGTAGGACTGGATCCTCCTCTGCCGGGCCTGCTCCGACTCGGGGCGTGCGAACCGCACCTGAAGACCAACGCACAAAGAGGGCGCTTAATAGAGTACACTTACATACACTGCTAAAGCCAACGGGACTCAGATTTATTGGCATTTTTTACCGTAATGGCTTTGACTTCCTCCTCAGCTTCATCCTGAGATGAGTCTCCACCTACAGGAGAGACACCGCCGTGTTATTCCTCTCACGTGATCGTGGAACATTCTAAGATTAAACACATCAAGCGTCCCCGTTTTCTAATAAAACACACAGCGTAATCTGAGAAGGAAAACACACCTTCGTTTGCCGCCTCGCGCTCTCGGGTTTTGTTGTCGGCCTTGTCCAAGTAAGAGAAGCTGGGCCTCAGCTGCAGGATTCCCGTTAGCGGGGTGATGTGGAGCTCGCCTGTCGACAGAAACAAGCACCATCAAACATCCAGCCCTGCAAAGTCTGAGCGTCGCTCGGTTTGACGTCACCAAGCAGCCGTTGATGGCAGAGAGGTTTGTGTTGTAAACACAGCTGAATGATAAGATGTGACGGCTGAAGATAAAAACACGGACCCTTGAACATGAGTGAACTTTGAGTGTTTTAGCACCAGGTCAGATAGAAAAAAAACAAAAGAAAAAAAAACATGTGGGGGCTACAAATGCTGCCGTCTAAGCAGGAAATCCCGTCAGACCTTTCCGAAACACGGCGGCTGCATATCTGGAGGTGTTAGTGGTGGCCTGGATGGATGAGAAGGTCTGCTTGTCCATCATTTTTCTGTAAGAAGGATGACAAGTACTTCCAGTGAACCAACAGGCCAATGATAAAGCTTTGTCAGCCGAGTTTTTCAAAACAGAAAAATCTCCGGGTTCGACGGCCAGCGTACGCAGAGTAGGTGTTTGTCTCTTCATAGGATGTGCCGTCCACATTCAGGGCGATTTGCTCCCCTTTACTGCGGCAGTAGTTTGGACTCATAGTGTTGATGGCCATTTCCAGCTCCACCTGAGTGAGGAGCACCACAAAAGAAGCACACAACAAACACTATTAAAGGACCCGCTCAATGCAAACGGACTATTTAAGCTCTAGTTCTGAAAATCCACCACTTAGAAGCAACAAACAATAGAACTTTAGAGACCACATGTACCCTCTGCTGTTTGGGTTTGATCTTCGCGGACAAATGGTTGACGTCATCGTAGGTCATAGTGGCCGGTCGCACAGGGTACTGCGTCAGAAGGAGATAAACAGTCAGTAAGAGACTCACGATGTATCTCTGAATGGATTTCCAATTCAAACGGTATTAAAACAACGCTCACAAACAGTCACACTCATCAGGATCTGGCACAGAGAAAAGGCTCACCTGGAAAAGATACAGCTTATCTGCCAGACTTTTTGCGAGGTACACGTCAATCTACACGAGATAGAAAAGCAGAAAAAAGTCACTTTGGTTGCCCGAACTGACAACTTCCAGGAAGACCAGCGAACTTTTACGGGGCCCTCCCAGTCCGACATTTGTTCTGAATCTCACAGAGATGGAAGCTTATTGCAACAAGAACATGCCGCGACACTGCTCATTCCCTCTTCTGCTCACGCAGCCAACACAGTTCATGGTACACAGTGATAATGTCAACTGACCAAAACTACACCAGAGAACAATAAACTTAAATCAACAGATCTGATGAGCTATTTACGGTGCCATCTTCAGCCTACCTCCTCTATAATCGGGTCGTCGTCTTCACCGCTGGCCATGTTGATGGGATCGGACACAGTGGCCGAGAGGAGAAGTCACAGGAGCGGAGCAGCAGATCTCAGGGATCCAACCTGGACAGCAAACACACACCCAGTGATTTACTTCATACAAAAGGGTTACACCCAGACTGGTGACTAGAAAAACAAGGTCCACACATCCTGATTACAATTCAATTCACTATGATTTTCTCAATATATACTTAGTTGGATTTTATCGAGTAAAATGTCTGTGGACAAGTATAAATACGAGCAACTATGAAGAGCCAGAAGCTATTCGACAGTCAGACCATGATCATGCAATCTGTCAGATGATGCTTTCACTGACACAGCCAGGTAACACTCAATGATGCAACTGTACGCAATGCACTTTAAATGGCTGCCCTCCAGGACAATGCCTCGTTTAACATTTCAATGATTGGTAAACACATCGAAACAGAACTACTTCACTTAATTTAGATACATATTGGTTAAAAAAAGTCAGTTTCTGTCTGCGTTAGCTTCATTAGCCAGGTGGCAGAAAAGCTTTATCAACACAAAGGCCCACATTACACAGCGGCGTAATTTTGAACCCTTATCCAAGCTAAAACCAGACGACAACGAAAGTCAACCTAAATGCCACCGTTAACTGTAAAGAATTGTGCAACGTTTACGCTAACGGGCTGCTAGCCGGTGTTAGCATGCCTAGCCAGCACCCACTAGCTTAGCTTGGCGTGCTAACTTACACATGCTAGACCAAATCTGTAATCAGGCAGGGTTTGACAAAGCCTTCAGGGAAACAATATCAACACTCTATTACAGAGCTAAAGTAACTCTCACCTGCACACTTCGCTGCACAGTTTGTACTATCTCATCAGTGTGTGAGGGCAGTCCATGAATGTGGAAACCAATTGGGCAGAAGTCAGGCAACTGAACAGCTCGGCTCAAGGTACCATGTTGACTCTGCCTCTCAAACACGTGGGGAGGAGCTCGTGTCCATAAAGCTAAGAACTTTTGTCAGGGGCAATGTTAAAGTGTGCGTTTCTTGTCATTTAATAGATTCTGAGAACTGACACAACAGTCAGACTTTTCTTTAATCGACTTCAAATAACTGAGTGAGACGACCAAAGACGTCCTGTTGAAGCCAGGTGCAAAAGGTTCTTGGCAGCGGTGGGATTCGAACCCACGCCCCCGAAGAGACTGGAGCCTTAATCCAGCGCCTTAGACCGCTCGGCCACGCTACCTTGTGCTAGCATCGTGGAACATTGAAAAAAAAAAACCTAGCAACACGTGCCTAATTGGAGCTCAGTTCTTCAGTTGTCTGCACGGCGTTAACGAGCTTTCACCAATTAGTCCTCAATCAAAGCCCAAGCCTATTCGGCTTTCATGTAGTACTGGTTGGCCAGTCGACCTTTCATGGCCGCCGTGGCAGCTTCTGGGGCTTCTGTGAACCTACAACCAAGAGACGAGTTGTTAATGAAGCCTGCGAAGCAACGCAACAAATCCCACAACAAAGTGCTTACAGGGGTCTGAAATGCACTAAGTGTGTTTTCTGAGCTTCACTGCATGACATGAAGTTTGTGGGAAGCTAAACATTTTTTTTTTATCAGGGGGAATGTTTAAGTATGTGTTTTGGATCATTTAATATATTCTGACACATCTGCTAGACTTTTCTTTCTTTTTAACCCTAACCCTAATCTCAAATAACCGAGTGAGATGACCAAAAATGTTATGTTGGAATCCAGGTGCAAAAGATTCTTGGCAGCGGTGGGATTCGAACCCACGCCCCCGAAGAGACTGGAGCCTTAATCCAGCGCCTTAGACCGCTCGGCCACGCTACCTTGTGCTAGCATAACGGCACAATAAAAAAAAAAAGCTAGCAACACGTGCTGCAATAACTAGCTTTTTCTTTGGTTTGTTTTTGTTAGAATTTGGCAATAATGACTCACTTTAGCATTGTATGCTATCACATAATCTATGTAAATGATTGATTGTCTTATTCCTTTTAGAACTATACTTTTGTGTTAAATTTTCTGGCTGTAACCACAACCTCTCTTTCTCTCTCTGTTGCTTTAGACACGTGTCATTAGTTCAACACACACGCACACACAAACTTTGTTAGCGCATTCCAAGGTTACCTGCATTAATTAAGACCTGGGTGGTTCATGTCAGGGTTAAGGTGAGTAAATACCTGGTCAGTAAGCACTCAGTCGTGTCCAGTCCTTTTGAGTGGTGTGCCCGGGCCCATGACAACCGGAGTTCGAGGCTCTTTGCTGACTGAGACCCTGAGAGAGAGGTTTTGTCTGTGAAGAGTCCAGCGCTGATATACTTTTCCTGTGACCAAATAAATGTATTTTTTTATACTTCTGAACCACTCTGGTTTATTCTCAGGTTTCCAACTAAAGAATCGGGCTAACATTTCTCAGGAGTGAATTAAGCTTTTCTAATTTATCCTCAACATGTTATCTTATGATATATCTACATATAAAACATGCGGCAAATGTTCCCTGTCATGCCATCCATCTAACTTAGAAGGGTACGTACAGACAGTAAAGGTGAACTATAAGAGTTTAAATTAATATATTTTTAATTATCTTGAGAAAAAGAGGAATGAAAGAGAGTAAAGACAACACGCACCTTTTATCCAAAATTTTATTTCATACAAACAAGTGAACAGTCTCAAGCTTTTGTCTATGAAACAGTATACGGCTAACCACTGTTAGTTGCATTTTGAGATCATTTTGTGAGAAAAGGCAACGTACATGGTGTTAGGTACAGCACATTAAGCCATCTGATGGGCATACCATAAGACTACACACACTGATTTGCTATCGTCTGTCAGATTGATAAAAGGCCCTTTGGCTATCTCTAAAAACTAACCTGTGGATTGTTTGAATAAAGTTTATTCATTGGAAACAACTGTAATGTCTGATCCGAATGTTAATTGAAGCTAAATTCTTCAGTTGTCTACACGGCGTATATATTTGAACTGAGAGAAAAGTAAACAGTGGAAGTTGATCAAGAATATTAGATCTTCGAACTCAGGAAACTATATTAAAAAAAGTCACAATTGGTTCTTTCCCTCGCTGGTAGACTAATTTGTTCAAACGACCTTATGTGGTAGACAACAACCACAAAATAAAGATGACCAATAAAAAGCAATGCAAACTTTATTTTACACTTTTATACTGTTGAAACAGTTTTATATAGTTTATAATTTTAAGTTTAATACACTTTTTTTTTTTCCATTTACACATAAATTCTTCCCAAATAAGTACGTCACCATTTTGAAGGGGCGAAGTAAACTAATCTTTGTTAAAATTTTTAACAACCTGTGTTTCATACAGCCATCTTTACTTAAATAAAAAGATAATTAGAGGGACAATTAAAAGGGGAAATGAGCCGGGATGATTTGCCTCCCAAACGGAGACAGAAACGGGGAGAGAAAAGTCTCATCTTCGGTGGCTCAGCAAACACACACACAAACTGCCAACAGCAAAAATTCTGTCATAAAAATATGTAAACTGTGATCATTCAGAATGTACGCTGAATGCGTAAACCAACTCTCAACAATTAGTCCTCAATCAACGCCCAGGCCTCTTCGGCTTTCATGTAGTACTGGTTGGCCAGTCGACCTTTCATGGCCGCCATGGCAGCTTCTGCGGCTTCTGTGAACAGATCACCTGCAACCGAGAGACGAGTTGTTAAAGACGCCAGCCAAACAACGCAACAAATCCCAGAAAAAAGTGCTTACAGGTGTCTGAAATGCACTAAATGTGTTCTCTGAGCTTCACTGCATGACATGAAGTTTGTAGGAAGAGGCTTACTTCCAACAAATACATAGTTTAACCCCATTCAAAAATGTTTCCCGTCATCTTTTTTTGAACTTACATTTTAATAAAACAACAATTCTGGTTGCATAAAACAAAGCTGCAAATTCCCTGTAATTATAAGCTGCCAATAACATAAGTTTTTCTATTTTTGGTTAGAATTTGTTACATTTTTTCCTATGTTTTACTGTGCAGAATTTCTTAATTAAATGGAGCATGTTCTACTGATCTAATGTTCTAATGGGCCCAGGCTTTAGTCAAACCTGCTTTCTGAGGGTCTGCCGAGAGGTGGTGGCCTCCCTCTTGGTACATTTCTGCCTCTCTGGCCAGCAGAAGGTAGCGCGGCTCGTCCTGTGTGCCGTCGAACTCCCCTCCCTCGTCATAGTCCATCATGTTCAGCACACTGTCGTACCAGTGGATGGCTTCGGCCCAGTCCTGCTTTCTGTGGAAGCGAAACACAAAACCACAGCTCTCCATCCTGTCCCACAGTGACCACCCAGAGCCACAAGGGGGCGAAATTCACTTTAAAATGACCCCCAACTGACCTGTCCGCTGACAGATTGAATCCGTTATCGAATGCTCTGGCCACTATGATCATGGAGGATCTGTCACCGGCTTCGGCGGCCTGAAGGAGGTACTTGAACCCTTTCATTCGGTTTCCTGCGTTATCCTGTAAACGGCACGGATGAGTCAGGACGGGCGCGTACCGAACGGCGTCCAAATCAGATGCAGTGCGTACGGTGCGTTACCTCCAGCTCCATGTCCGGCAGGATGTGATGTGGCAGCTGCAGGCAGCACTGTCCTAAGGCCACGATGGCCTCCAGCTCCCCACACAGGGCCGCTCTCTCCAAGTGGAACATGGCCGCGTTCTGGTCCCACGGCTCGTCCTTCTCACAGAAACGGCCCGCCTCGTGGTATCGGACCATTGCCAGGTGGACCTGGATGAAAAAAGAAAAACACATAGAAATGCGTGAATGAAATACACGAGTGATGCAGAACGCTGATTTTAAGGTGACCGAGCTACCTTACTATCTAAGTATTGCAACACTTCATTGCAGAATAAAGTAGAAAATAATCGTCTAAAAATGAATTAAAGCCGTGTCCTCTCACCTTTCCGAGGATGGACTGTCCGATCTTCTTCTGCAGCAGAGCATTGAGGCGCTCCACTTCGGTGGCCACGCAGGAGGGCCGGTGGACGTGAGCGCGGGACGAATGGAAGAAGCTCCACTTCTCCTCCGTCAGCTGAACAGAAGCAGCCAACCGGGAAGATGAGAGAAAAAAAAACAGAGAAAATGACGGCCTCTCTCAGATGAGACGGAAAAGAATGACACTCCACACTCATCCAGAGGAGCAAGCTGTACATTTAGCCAATCACAGACAAGATCAGAGCTGGAGGAGGTCACACCGGTTCACTCATAGGCTGCAAAGCACAGGAAAAGAAGAAGACAAATGCACGTAAAAGCTGCCATGGGGAGAATGGTTAGCAAAAAAATGGTTGCTTTGGTGAACTGGAGGCAGATGGTGTTTCATTTCCAAAGGTCGTTTTGCGTTTATCTGCATTTAGCTTCCTCTATTTTTTTTGGGCTACGGTCCTTTTCTCAGCTGATAGCGGAGGAAAAGACACGGGAGCCGGGGCAGATAAGGGCGGGCAACAGAAATAAAGCTGAAGCAGAGAGACTGCGGAGCACCGCTCTGGCTTACAAGCCTCCGTGCAAATAATCACCCTTTCTTCTTCGGGACTGTTTGAATAAAGGTTTGCAGAGACTCTTGGAGGAGCAACCATCTTTCTCTAGTGAAGGGAAACAAAGAAGGGGAGGAGGAGGAGGGACTAGATTAGGAAAAAGGTGATGAGTGACTAAATGTTAAGCAGGTGATGAGAAGATAGGGAGAAGAGATGGTGAAGAAACCGTGACGAGGACGGGGCGGTTTGATTATGGTGGTTATGGTTACGATTGAGGGGATGTTAGCGGTGAGAGATTTAATTCATTTTAATATTGGTTTAATATTAATCATTTTAATATTGGTTTACCCTTCTGACACTGTCCTCATCCGATTCAGAATAAGGCCTGTGGTAGCGATGGTGGACCTATGTGACGATACAACAAGCTCGCTGTAACAAACTCTAACTTAGGTCAAACTCGATGGTAAAAAAAGAGGAGGGGGGTCAAGTCAAACATATTAAATAGATCCTTAAATAAACCACTTAAATATCCAATATATTTTCATTAGCTGACAAACATGTTCAATTTGTTTGCGTTCATAAAACTCAGTTGAACTCTTGAAAATCTGCCACATATGCAGTTCGACAATATTTGACACAGTCAGCACTTTGAAACAGTTCCCCCGACTGACTAAAATAAGTGGCAGGAAGCTCGAGAAGAAGCTCTTACCCCGTCGACGTGGTCGTTGGGATCCCCTTCGCTCCTCCTCTCGCTGGGGTAGCCGCTGTCTCCTCCGCTCTCTGACTCCTGAAGACAGAGGAGGAAAAGGACAGTTGTGAGGTGTGTGTGGCAGAAGAGATGACCTGAAGCCCCCCCCCGATTGAGAATCGATTGAGCCCCGGAACTGCCGTCTTGTTCCAAAGTTTTCAATCAATTTTTATAGACACGTAGCACCACTTTTTTTTTTTTTTAAAAATTAAAAAAAAAAAACACAAACAGAGAGGTTGCTAGAACACAACCAACACCCCCCCCCCCCCGGGGGGGGTTTTTCCGCCCCCCCGCGGGGGGGGGGGGGGGGGGGGGGGGGGGCGGCACAGTATCGGTCAGGTGGTTCTAATATTTTGGCCTCTCTCATTCATGCTTTTAGCTTTGCCACAGCAGCAGAAGAAGAGACAAAGCTCCCGGCAGACAAAGGACCTCTTTTGGCAGAGAAACCAAACACAACACATACTGCATTGTGGGTGGGTTGGAGGGGGGGGCTATTGTGGGTTGTTGCCGTGTTTCCACTGGCAGCTGCCGTCACAAGCGCTGCCTAAAAGCACACGCATTGTCTCACTGAGCGTTCAAGCTTTCAAACCAATCCGCTCTGCACCGGCCAGTAGGGACAAACTGGCCCGTGCTCAATGGAATCCTGCACACAAGCACATATCTGTAGCCTCCGTGTACTTTTAGAAACACTATGAAAACTACCTGAAACCCCACGTAAAGAGAAAAAGGCTGAATGAATGGCGTCATTACTCGCCTTGTGTTCCCCCGCGTTGTTATTGTTGAGTCTGTCGTGTTCGGCCATTCCGGCGAAAGTCAAGCCTGGAAGATACCAAAAAGTTAGCCAAAACCGGATCACTCCGCAAAGGGAGCGAAAGGGGCGCACTCCTGTCCAGCGAGTACGGATGTACCGGAGGGAGACCTGCCCAAAGATCCGCCCGCTCCCAGCGGAAAGCCGGGGAGGGTGAGGGGGGAGCAGGGGACGGAGTCGGTTTCGCTCATGTTCTCGTCGGCGGAGGAGGTCTCGGACATGCGGGACAGCAGGGGGGGCACCCGGCTGGCCGAGAAGGTCCGGACCCGGGGCGACCCGCAGATCTCCTCCGAGCCCCGCAGCACGGTTTTGGCAGATTTCTGAAAGGATAGCCGGATGCAACTCAGTGGAGGAAACAAAAAAGCCCCCCACCACCCCCCTAATTGAAACGTCGAACTCACCAGAAGCTTGTTGGTGCAGTCCAGCTGGGACATCTCCACCGGGGCCAGGTCGAACGGCGTCAGGCCCATGCTTTTGCAGATCTTGTTACAGAGGTGGGAGTGGAAGAACAAAGCCATGCCGCGCACACCTGGAACACAGCTGGAGTCAGAGCAGCGCCCCCCGGGGGCGGCGCCCGCCGCGAGCGTGAGGCTGCCGTCGGTCTAACTGAAGGCTACCCAGATTCCCGTCCCCGTAGTCGGTCCCCGTCTCGGTGTGGATCTGAGGGTCCGTGTAGAGATCTCCGACTCCCTGGATGTCCACCACGATCAGCTGGTGGCCCGAGCGCTCGAAGGAGAAGTGGCTGAAGGCCTGGCGGAGGGGGGAAAAAAAAAGGGAAAGTTACGCCATATTATCGGCTGAGCGCGAGCCGAAAGCCGCCGTCCGCTCACCTGAGGCGTGAGCCGGATGTTGTCGTCCCTCACGAAGCCGGAGTTGGAGTTGTATTTGATGTACTTGCCCTCGATGTAGTGCTCCAGGTGGAAGAGGGGTTTGCCCGGTCTGTCGGTCATCTCCACCACGCACATCTGCATGATGTCCACCTGAGGACGCCCAACAGATTGTGAATCAGAAGGAGGCAAAAAACACATCCTGGCCCTCTTTTTAAACCAAACAAATCCCACTAGACACTCTAAAATGCTTTTTGTAACAATAAAGACAAATCATTTGTAAAAAAAAAAACGAGGAGTGGATCTGTTCAAATACTTCATATCACTAAATGTTCCCTTGATTCATGAAAAATGAATTGTTAGACGATACCCTAAAATTTTATCAACAATCAATGAATGTCACAAGGAGGTAGATTTTTTTTCTACCTGTTTGGGAGGTCTGTGGCGGTTGTATTCCTCCCCCCACAGTTTGGCCTCCATCTGCAGCCTCACGTCTTCAAAGTAGACGTTTCTGTCCACGGGCTCCATGTAACGCTTGGACACGTAATTGGATGCCATCTTCCAGTTGCTGCTGTGTGAGAAATTCGAGAGCTTCTTCCTGTAGGATGAAGAGGGATAACGTTTGTTTACACTGTAAAAAGTCCTTAAAAGGCTAAAGAACCCCTCCTAAAGTTATTAATCTGTACGGAAATACACAGCTGTGGCCATTTTTTTGGTCAGTGGGAGTGAACAGAGATCTCGGTTTACAAAAACTCTGAACCCACTCACACGGAGAGTAAATCTGAGCACATCGTTTCTTTTTTTAGGGCCCAAAGTTGGGGCACGTAGAGTGCAGGAAGAGCTATTTTAATCCTCTGTGTTTTTGTTCTTTTTTTAGAAAGGGATTGTTTTTAAGATTCTTAAAGACAGAAACAACCACAAGAAGAAGGGGTTGATAATAATAATAACAACAGAAAAAGAACAAAAAGCACAATTTTCCAGTTTTCCTCTCTTTTACATTTCTAATACCACAGAGGATTACATGATAGGAATTAGTGCATAACCAAAGAATAATCTAAATAAAATAAAATAGAGAGTGGTGGCACCACTCCAGTCCTCTCGAGCTGGGGCAGGAAATGCACACAATGCTGACAGGAGACAGATTTCACTGTGGGGTTAATGGAGACATTTTCCTACTTACGTCCTGAAACACTCCCTCATGGCCCCTTTCCCAAATGGCTGCGAGAAAATAGAAAAAGGGAAAGGCGTCAAACACTGTCTGTACGGTAGAACAGGCAGTTTTTTTCAGGCGGTAAAAATACCTGAGAACCCATCTTGAGGTGGATCTGGTCCTGTTTCCACTCTCCTGTGACGGCATTGTATCTGTGAATGTGGACATTCATTAATTACATTTGTCTAATAAAAGGTCAAATTTATATATATATATATGTATACACACACACATACATACATACACACATTTATATATGTATGTAAATAAGCCGAAACTTGTCACAAAAATGTAGATTAAATAGATCAAATATCTACAACTCTAGTTAATGATTGATCCTTCAGCCTCAGTTTATGGATCATCTGCATGCCGACAGTCGATGGGGGAAAACAAACCCTGCGACCCGCTAAAGATAGTTCTGTTTACCACCTGCCTCACTGTAAATTACTTGCACAAGACCGCTCCGAGATTGACCCGCTTCCCTTTCTTAGCTCACTACTCTCCCACGGCGGGTAAAATGGTAGGACCCCTCCTCATTCAAGCTCCCAAAATCAAAGAGTGCAAAGACCTTCGGTTCTATTCACATCGGCCGGGCCAAAGGGCTCATTCTGCAGTCTTATCACAGCGCCACATAAATCATCCTCTGTGTGCAAAACAGAGAACACTCAAACAGAGAGCGCCTGTGCTCTCTTTTCCTCACGGTAAGGAGATTCTGACTGCACCCTTTTTTCCCCCTTCTAACTGAGGTTGTTTGTCTGCAGATAATGATACAGTGGTATATTAAAAAAAAGGTACAACGAGGTCAGTGAGTGTGTTTGGGTTGGCCGGGTGTGAGTGTGTGTCCTGAGTTAATGAATACTACATGTGCACCCGTAAAACTTCAGTTCTACAAAAACTCTCGGTGCAGAAGATCAGTTTCCACCCGTGTGTCCAGGGGAGAAAAGAAAAAAAAAAAAAAAAGGAAAAAAACAAGGACAAAAACTTTCCAGTATCTAATCTCCCGCCCTCCCTGCTGAACAGAGGGGGAACACGCCGTGCTCTGACTTTCACGCCAAAGGGGGCGAAAAACGAGTGAGGTTACCGGGGAGTAAAATTAGCACCTGAAAAGGTCTGTCGGACCCTCCCCCCCCCCCCCCCGGAAGCCCCCTACGGTATGCAGGAGGAATTTTCCTCCTCCTCTTCGCTTACGCCTAAAGTGTGCACTTTGGAGGTGGGTGCTGTCAGCTCTACGTCAAGAGCTCCGGACGTGTAAACAAGAAACAGTTTGCTCCGACACGTCTTATATAACCTGTCTCAGCTGACGCGGTGTCGGTTTTTTGTGATTACAGCTTGGAGCATTACCGCCCCGCCGGGGCTGGGAATAAAACACACATCATGTGACACAGCAGTAAATGGCTGCTATTGTTTGAAATGGCCCGCAAATAAAGCTAGTTCAGAGTTAGCTTATTCCAAACCGGCCGAACCGACGTAAATATTGACTTTGAGGGTTTTTTAAAACATTCGTGTTGACATTCGAGCACATATTTAAGCCTTTAAAACCAATAGCAGTACAGGTGTGTAAAGAATAAACCAATAAAAATAAAAAAAACACACACAAATGTGTCCCACTGGGATGAGCGGCCTCAGAGGTCACAGTGCGGTGCGTTCAGGGACATGCTGCACAGAGCTGTTGGACACACAGCAGCCCCCCACCCCACACCCAAAAAAAACAAAAAAGCAACACACTTTAAGTGAAAAGGGTCATGTCTAAATCAGCTGAGTAAAAGAGGTTCATCTTTCCGACAGGGAGGCGGAGCACACCTGTAACGGACGCAGAGTTCGGTGGCGATGTCCTCCAGGTGGAACTGAGCCCAGGGGTCGGGCATGGCCCGGGCCTTCTCGATCGCATGGATCCACGCCGCCTGTCACATCGCAGATGAAAGCACACTTAGCCATCGTCATGTGTGTGTGTGTGTGTGTTCTTAAATGGATAAAGATTTTTAAAAGGCTGGTTTCCAAACAGGTTTGCTGCAACAGAAGGTAGAAGGAAGGGTAGGAAATCCATGCAGAGCTGTAAAAAAGGTTTAACGGCCACAGCCATTCCTAGCACCCCCCCCTTTATGAGTGCTTGGTGCACTCGCTAAATGAAAAAGGAAAATCTCACAGCTTCTGCACAGAATTGCTGCCCCTCGATCCCCGAAATATTTCCTTAAAAACGGCCAAGAACACATAAACAGGGATGAAGCAATGGGTGGATTTGGAAGCAGGCCAGAGATTGTGAGATTAATCAAAGCCCATTTTCATGGATTGGGGAGCGCATGCGGTGTCCCGTGATCGTTTGCAGGTTTGAAAACAAATAAATAAATCATCGCTTGTGAACTAGCCGGCGGAGCTCTGCCCCGTCCTGCAGGGTGCAGCTGCACGTCCCCCTCGTATTCCACGCCTCAGACGGGTGTATATTTAGAGGGACAGATTTACACCGGGAGAAATATGAAGGGTCATGTTTTCATCTGAGAGAGAGCGTCACGTCAGACCCCCGACCCCAGCGCTGGGGGGGTGGGGGGTGGGGGTCTGACGTGCTCCCAGGATCATTTCAGCCTTGTGACGAGTCTCCAGAATCAAATGATGCGGGACACCTGCTTTGACTTGACATCAGTCTGTCAACATCCTGTACAGGATATATAAAGCTGTAATAAAGGTTTTTCTTTTTTGGAGTTTTGCCAATCGCTACCTGTAATCTGAAAAGAGGGGGGGAGGGAGGCTGCAATGGAGGAAACATCAGTAAGCAGAGGGGGGGAGATGTAAAATGATAGCTGGTGAAAACTAAGGAGGACATTCCGAAACAGGGAAAGGACAGCAAATTACAGAGCAGGAGGATGGGAGGATTGGAGGATGGAGGCAGGGCTTTTATCGTGGATGAGGAGGGAGAGAAGCGGAGTGTAACCTGATTCCGACACATACCCGTGCGCTCTCGGACAAAACACTGTACGACCGCGCTTCCGCCTCTGTTTCGTTTTCTTGCTATTAAGAGAGGTGAAGAAAAACAACACGTCTTTCCGTCAACACACACACACACAGTCATTTGCAGCAGCATTCTGTCAGACACCGTCTGACATCGGGTTCTGGAAACAAGCTCAAACTGGAGGGGGCCATCCTCCCCCGGCGGTAGGCTCTCTGACAAGCAGCAGTCTGCCCCTCAATCAAGCCAAAAAAACCAGAGTCTGACTGGGAGAGGCGTGTTTACGTGCATACTGAGGAGGTGAAGAGCCCTCTCTGGTGCTTCCTGTTCTTGTCAGAGAGTACATTTAAGAGCGGTTTGGCTTGCGTCCACACCACTGACACGTACAAATAGCAGACACACTGGTGCGTGCTGGCAGGCGTGCTCGTCTCTCCTTTTAAGGCAGAGACTGTTTACATTAGAAATTGCAGAACTCAGTGGTTGCAACGCTGCACGAGCACGACTGGACTTTCGGTATTTTCTGACATTTCTTCCGCCTTTTGCATTCTGCAGCTGGGGGGGGGGGGGGGGGCTCACCTTGTACATGAAGCCGCCTTTGGGCAGAGAGTTGGACAGCTGCCTGGTGCAGACCATGTTTTTCAGGTAGTGGCAGACCTCCCTGGCGGAGTCATCCAGGAGGGGGGAGATGAAGTGCTCTTCATCGTCGTCGTCATCGCTGGCGTTGGCGTCGCTGAGGGAGGAGGCCCGCAGCTTCAGCCCGCTCCTCTGGACCGAGGGTCTCTTGGCGCTGCCCTCCTCCTCCATGCTGAACATCAGGTCGTCTTCCATGGCGTCTCCTGCTGCTCTGAATGACCAGAAGGGGGGAAAAGAGGAGGAGGATTTATGTGCAGCAGGGCTTCAAACGACGTGAACACAACAGCTCAGCATCATGGCTGCACGGCTCTGCAGAAGATGTCATCTGAAAGGTGCCCGCGCGCCTCTCAGATGTCCTCACATTCAAAACTGACTGCCATGTGAAGAATGCAGAGCCAAACAAACACCCGCTTGCACCTTGTTTACGCAGAAGCGAAAGCAAAATAATGTTATCACCATCCAAACTGATCTCCAGCAAATAAAAAAAGTTGCTTTACCTCGTTCAATTTTGCTCTATTTTTATATGCAGATTTGAAATGAGCAACTCACCTTACAATCGGATGACCATATATTCCTTTATTCGCTCTTTCCTGGCAGAACGTGGGAGTGATCCGGTCACTTCGGTGCCTCGCTCTGTTTAAATCAGAAGGCGGAAAGACTGAATAGCATGTGGAGCTGCTAAAAAAAAAAAACAACTCCTCCCAGATCCGTGTGGGTCTTTCCTGGTTCTCCGCTGAGTCCTGAAGGTCCGGGGACGTGCCTGGCAGGGAGCAGCAGTACTTGTACACTTGCACACATCGTCCACCACGGCGACGATGTTCCTCCGCACGTATCACTACACCAGCGCGCTCTGGCCACGCCCACCCCTCCAGTTGCCTTCAGGAATGTCGGAAATGTGTTATCCTATAAGGACGGCGTGGAAGGGAAGTCTGTTAAAAAAAAAAAGGGCGTCTCAACATTCGAAGGTATTACAAACCATAAAATATATTTTAGGAAAAAATACATACATATAGACGCATTTGGTCGACACCACAAAATATAATGGCAACGGTGACTACTTGCATATGAAACTCAGGTACGTTAAACTGCAGCTTGGCAACGTTCACGAGCACACCTCGTGATCACACACAGTGTCCTGCCAGTAGTTTTCCGCGCTGACCACTGCAAGCACGTGTCAATTGTTTTTGACAGACCAGGTGAGGCGTTATTTATATTTTTACCTATGCAATGTGAAAGGGACTAGATGAAGGAATTTTGGTCATTTTTTTGACAAACGTGACAGTGTGCGACTTCCCAGAAAAGACAACACACGACAAGATTCAACCACAACTGCAAACGCTGTGAGTCACAGCTGCAAAGATATCAACTATAAGGCCAGAATTTCCAAAAATGACTTCAGAATACTTGATTCTTCGATGCAAAGATGAAAAAAAAATTGCTCCCATGCGCCGTCAGTGAGGTAGCGTGGCCGAGTGGTCTAAGGCGCTGGATTTAGGCTCCAGTCATTTCGATGGCGTGGGTTCGAATCCCACCGCTGCCAATCGTTTTTGGTTTTTCTACTTACCTCTTGACACGGGTGTAACGTCAGTAAACCTTTTCTGTAAATGCTAATAGGCTCACGTGACTCCTTATTTCTTATGGATCTATGCTACAGTACTCACATGGGTGTTTCATATTTTAGTTTATTGCAAGCCCACGTGTTCTGTAGCATCAAATAACATTTGCTGCACTGTTCGTGGGTACACACAAAGAGATTATGCTTACAAAACAAAATTATAATAAGCATGCTAAATGACACAAGAAAAAAAACACAGTGCAAATGTAAGGACTGGACATCCTGCACTTAGGTCAAAAATGTTTAGATGTAGGTGTCCATTGGAGCACATTTCGTTACTCAGCTTCTGCCTACAACTTACAAACAGGCTGCTCTGATGTAATGGCGCCATCTTGTGGCCACGTGGCAGTTACAGCATCTCACAACTTAACAAGATAAACAGGCAGCAGTACCTCAAGAAAATCCACATTTATATATTCTTATTTAGTTTTGTTAGTTTTCTAAATACTGTCTCCTTGTTCATGATATATACAGCCTGGTTTTTAATGTTATACAAAGTGTGTATTTATGTCCAGTGATACTAACCTTTGGTCAGCTAAAATGACCTGTTGCTGAAAGAATAAAATGAAATTCTGCTGTGCAGCGTTAGCTGTAGGGCACTCGTGTTTTTTTTGTGTGATTGTGAGGATGTCAGCTTTCCTAACAGAATATTTCATTATATGAAAAGCAGTTAGCGGCACGGTGGTGTGGTGGTTAGCACTGTCGCCTCCCAGCAAGAGGGTTCTGGGTTCGAATCCCGGGGGAACCAGGACCCTTCTGGGTGGAGTTTGCATGTTCTCCCTGTGTCTGCGTGGGTTCTCTCCGGGTTCTCCGGCTTCCTCCCACCGTCCAAAAACCTGCATGTTAGGCTGATTGGAGATTGGGGAAATTGCCCTTAGGAGTGAATGTGAGTGTGAGTGGTTGTATGTCCTGTGTGTGGCCCTGCGATGGACTGGCGGACTGTCCAGGGTGTACCCTGCCTCTCGCCCGTTGACCACTGGGATAGGCTCCAGTTCCCCCCGCGACCCCATGAGGGAATAAGCGGCATTGATAATGGATGGATGGATGGATGGAAAAGCAGTTATCTTCTTTATTTGACAGTTGGACCCCGTTTTCTAGTTTTAAGTCAACATTTTCAACTGCAGAGGGTTTCTAGCCAAAATCACATAATTAAATCAGAGTTCATTCTTGGTTTGTGTCAATTGTTTATTAAAAAACTCTTCCCAAATAAAATAAAAACAAAATTAAATGTCTATTGTGGGTATTTTCAGATTTATTGAGTTCTAAACAGGAAATATACACCTTTCAAATCCCCAGTTGTAAAAAAATCTTTGAGATTTGTTGACAGGAGATGTTGGTTTTATTACATAACTTAAGAATTTAAAAACATTAAAGTGTGAATTAAAGAAAAATAATGAAAGTTCATCATCCAAGGTTTTTTTTTAAAGTTTTGTTTGTCCCACATACCAAGTGCCTGTCAGATCTGGGGTCACTTTCAATACACCTTAAATAAAACAACCAATGAGCTTTCACTGGGCTCTGACGTTTTCTTTCGAACGTCCAGACGCCACGTACCGCATTTTCTGGATGGCTAGCTGGGTGTCTTCAGGAGAAATCCCGAGATGCCACACGGCTCTGATGGAGTTCCCAAAGTGGGGATACATGAGGACGCGTATCCCCTGCCCCAGAGCCGCCTCCTCCCCCTCCCCGACCTCACCCATACGGGCGCAGAAGTCACGGGTGCTCCACGTGGAATCCCGCAGACGGAAGCGCAGGATGTTGGTCTCCACGGCGGCCATGTCGACGGCAAACAGAGCCGGCTGGCAGTCCAGCAGGGCTGGGAGAGGACAAGGGGACAGGTCAGACAGGAACCGGACCGCACCGGCAGCCGGCTAAAGCCCCGAGTGACCTGTGCAGACCGGTGAGCCGCTCACCTTGAGCGAAGGTTTTCACGTTGCGGTGGTCCTCCTCCAGTCGTCCAACCATCTCCTGCAAAGACAGTTTCCCAGCCGCGGCGAGAACTCCGGCCTGCCTCATTCCTCCGCCCAGAGCTTTTCGGCACCGAACCGCTCTGGAGATGAAGTCCCGCGGTCCAGCTAGCATGGTGCCCACGGGAGCACCCAAACCCTGGCAGCAAACGGCCACAAGTTACCGGACACCGGCTTTCCTTTTGCAGGAGCCTTAGCTTCTCTTTGCAGGAGGCTTAACTTGTTTGTTGGTGTGTTATCCTGCGTTGTGTCTTCAGACCCACCTTAGAGAGGCAGACGCTGACTGTGTGTGTGTGCTGCAGGATGGTGGATGGAGGCACCCCCTGGGCCACGGCAGCGTTCATCACCCTGGCCCCATCCATGTGAACCGAGAGACCGTACTGCTCAGCTAAAGCACGGACCTTTGGGATGGACACACATTACCCAGACATGATACATTTATAAAAATATATATATATATATAGAAAATACCAAGTTAATTGACAACTCGTTATATGAAGCCATGGAAACGTTTCTGATTTATTTATCTTACTCAATTTGAAAAATCTATAACAACAACTTATAATGTATATCTGAATAATGTTTTTTATATCCAGGGAGTGTATGGCACACACACATATACATATATATATTTGCCTGCCATATATTTGGCAGGCACTCTAAATCAAATGCAAATATTATAACTCTAAAGAAATTTGAATAGTATCTCTTTCAGATCCCTGGACTCAGAAAATCCCTGCGTGTGGACACACCTCCTGCAGGAAGGCCAGGGGCAGCACCCGGCCTCCCTGGATGTTGTGTGTGTTCTCCACGCATATGAGCCGCGAGCGCGGGTAATGCGGGTCCGGGTAGCCGTGGCGGATCTTGGACTCCAGCCCGTCCAGGTGGAACGTCCCGTCGGGGAGGGTGGGCACGGTGGTGGCGTGGACGCCCGCCAGCTGGGCGCTGCCCCCCTGCTCGTACACGTGCAGGTGGGACAGGTCTCCCACGATCATCTCGTCGCCCCGCTCCCGGCAGTGCACCATCACTGTACACACCACGCATAATCACATCCGTCCCGGGATCAGAAAAACTGTATTTGGATCCCACCCTGGCCTACCTGCGATGAGGTTGCTCATGGTTCCCGTGGGGACAAACAGGGCGGCCTCCATGCCAAACATGTCGGCCGCGATTTTCTGCAACTCTGCAATCAGCAGAAAAAGACCGAACAATGCTGAGTGCAGGTCAGGATGAGGGCAGGCAGATGAAAACACCTCCTTTGGTCTGTGCAGAGATACTTTTGGGAAGTTTTTTGGTGGTTTTGTAAAGACTGGGCATCAATGAAGGGACGTATCTGTCTTTTAAAAACTGTAAAGTCAGCATAAAGTCTCAGATGACTCATAAAGTAACAGTAGTGGAATATTGGCTGAGTGTGTAGTTAGCTGGATGATTGTTTTTTATCTTTTCCCAACATGAATTATTATTCTTAAGTTTTCTAAATTGTTCTTATAGATTTGTTCAAATTGAGTAGGTTAAATAGATCAGACACTTTCCCATGGCTTCGTAGAACGACTTTGTCAATGAACTTGGTCTTTTGTTTTGTTTTTTTAAACCATCTGATGCATCTACATTTACACACAAAACTGCTTTGGGAGGTTCCTCCCTCCTCACCGTTCACCGTCGGGTCCTCCCCCATCACGTCATCCCCCACCTCGGCCTCGGCTATGGCCTGGCGCATGGCCGGCCCCGGCTTGGTCACCGTGTCGCTGCGGAGGTCCACCAGCCGGACGTGGGCCGCCCCGGCCGGGCCGGGATTCTGCTGGGCCCCGCCGGTGTTGTAGTAACCCCGTGCTGCTGCATCCTCCGTGCCGGGGGTTTTGCCGGAGGCAGCCAGACCCCGCCTCAGAAATCCGTGCAAAACCCTACCGGGGAATGTTCTCAAATACATGACGCTCCCCCGTTAATCATATTTTTTGCACATGTTTTTGTCGCGTCGAACTTTGGATCGCTGGACTCGGCAATCATTGACCGGCTTGCAGGCCTGGTTAATGGATCACCTATCGACACGAGCAGACAGGACTTAGAGGAAACACAGGCACAGGTTTAGCCATTTTCTTCAACTTAAAGATGGACAGTGAAAAGTAAGAAGAGTCCCACCAATGTTAAATGGCTACTAATGGTCACCGTGGGGGCATTAGGAGGAGTAAACCCCTCTGGGTTTAGTCTGATCATTGAGTTAAAGTCAAGCCATACATGATAGAGTTAAAAGGTTTTGGGCTTATTCAACTTATCTTATTTTTTAATATCAAATATGGAACCTGTTTTTTTGGTGATCTTTTGACTGGAGCTGAGAAAGATTTTCAGTTGTGTTACTTTTGCCTGAAATTGTCTGGATTTCGTTCTTACAAAGGGAAACCTTATTTGAAAATGGACACATAAAGCCAGGGGGGCTGCAGGGCCAGCCGGGGGCAGGCAGGAAGCATGGGGGGCTGTTGTTTTGCATATCACTCATATTTCCTTTCCAGTTAGTTGGCCTGTGTTACACACACTCTGACGGCAGAAAACCTGCTTTCCTGGAAGCAGGATTTCTTTCTTTTTTTAATCAGACTTTACCAGCAGACTGATGACACATATGTTTGAATGTATCAAGCCTTTGACTTCAGCGAGGCCTGACGGATAGTCATTATATCCTCCTCACTGAGTCACAAATGAGATGGGACGGATTCCCGCAATTGCCATTTGGAGCAAGCCCTCTGTTTTCTTAGTGTACCACACACATGCATTTTGAATAAACATGTCCAAACCTTTGGCTTCGACTTGCATAGATACACCATCCATCCGTATTCCACACATATAGAGAAGGAAAACAATATGGAGGACAATAACAATGACATATAAGCATGGTTAAAGGGAAGTGATGATGAATACATAGAAAATGACAAATGGTTGTCGTACTCCACCCATACAGGTCAAACTTTGTCATGCATCCACAAAAATTGTAGAGAACAGTGCGTGTCAACTTTTTTACTGTTACACCTCCAGCTGAGTGCACACACAGCTTACTGTCGTCCTAATCCGCATATATTTGTGTTCAGTTTTTCCTCCGGGCAGCACCTGGGGTCAGCGTGTCCCGTGTGGTGCTCTGAGGGTGCAGTTCCACCCCGGTGCTGCAGGGGGAACTGTTATCAAACATCACGGTCCTCCACGAATCAACATCCATGGAACCCTAAGAGTCTCAAGATGGCGCCATAATCCCAAGAAAATGTTTTAAAACCATGCAAATTGCAACAAAATGATGCATTACATCCAGTTAAGAGACACTTAAGCAGAACTCTGTCATCTCAGAACTAAAACCTCTGTGCAAACACAATCCAGATCATTACAGTTCCCTCTTTTATATATTAAAGTGTGGCAACAACTATGAATCAGTAGAATGGTGTCCCTACCAGACATATTAGTAATTGCAGTGTTTGCAAAGAATACCGGTAATAATGAGCTGTCCAAGTCTGTACAGCAGGGTGGGAATATGACCCCTCATGTCTGCATGTGCTGATTGAAAACCAAAGTATATAAAAGTATATCAAGAAAAATAATATATTAATGCAACATATAAGAGTTGAATTCTTTCAATCTTGAAAGTCAATATTTGCCATGACAGAGGCCATTTTGAGTTAGTTGTTCTTTGTTGTTTTTCTTTTCAAATTAAAAGTCAGTCGGTGTTAAGTGGCTCACAAACGGAAAACAGAACCACTATTTTCATTGTTTTCATTTTACACTGTTGAAGACACGTATTTGCTAGTTCAACGTTTCTCCACTTATCTGCAGGTCAAATTTAAATCCAACTTTTTCCAGTCGGTGGACTCCATAAATCATTCCCAGGTAGAGATCTGCATCTGGGAAAATTCCTCTGAGCACCTGTTGGTGTTTATCTGTCACCCTACCAGTGTGAGGGACGTGTTGACCGTTTCGTGTTGTCATGCTCTTACATCACTGTCACTCTATGGGATTCTTGGGGGGTCAGGTGCCTGTTTTTGGCCAGACCTTGATCCCCATTCTAAAAAGAGCTGTGAGGGAGGTGCACGTAAACACACCCATAACACACCCTCCCACTGAGTACCCCCCTCCTCTTTGGCCCACAAATACCGGGGCTGCATTCACACCACACACACACACACACACACACACACACACACACCCCAGACCGTCCCTCCATCACCTCACCCGCACTCACACACACACACGCACGCGTATGTAGTTGCTGTCACAGCTGATTCCCATCAGTCGATAATAACGCCCAGTGTGTGTGTGTGTGTGTGTGTGTGTGTGTGTGTGTGTGTGTGTGTGTGTGTGTGTGTGT